CAAAAAAAAAAAAAAAAACCACACACATGCTCTACAGCAAAATTCTCTCAAAAAAAGAAAAAAAAAAAAACTCTCGAAAAGAAAAAAAAAGACCTCTTTGTGGGGCTGGCTGGTGGAATGGTTGTTAAGGAGGCTGGACTACACATGGCTGGCTATATGGTTCAAGTCCTGGACCCAGGGACTTGAAAAATATGCTGGGCACTTCTACGTGCATGTTCAAAATTCCAAGAGGAGATCAGAGAAAGGATTACAGAGTGGCTATCCTCCACTGGGGGTGCCTTCTCACTCCCCACTCCCCCAACCACCCCATCTCTCTCCAGCGAGTGCAAACGCTCAACAAGAAATTTTAAAAATTAAAAATAAAAAAAATAAAAATTTTTTAATGAAAAAGAAAGACCTTTTTGTGTATAAAGCCTTTCTGTACTTAAGCTTAGGGAAAATCTTATCATGCCACAGGTTAATAAGTAACCTTGTAAGAAATCATTTTCAAAATGTGAATGAAGACTATTCTTTAATATTAAGAAAAAAAATATCCCATGTGACATATTTATTTATCTAAGGCAGGCTTGGAAATAATAGGTGACCAGGTTCCTACGGCTACCTAAAAAAGCGTCAGGCTCTGTGTACCCTACTGGAGAGATGAGGTATACAGTCTCTGAAGTGCCAGATAAACACACAGTTCAGAGACCTCTGAAAAGGAGAGTTCGGGAACCAGCAGTTAGCGTAATGGCTATGTTGCTGGACTCCCATGCAGTTGACCATGGTTTGAGTCCTGGACCCGGAGGCTTAAAACTCACGCCGGGAACATGTGCGTGCGTGCCCAAGATCCCGAGAGGAGAATGGAGGGGGAGGGATTGCGGCGTGGCCATCCCCCCTGGGGGGTGATTTCTTGCTTTCTATCTCTCTGTCTCTCTGTCTGTCTGGCGAGCACACGTGCCCTATAGCAAAAACCTCTCCAAAAAAAGAAAAAAAGGAGAGTTTGAAGGCTGGCTTATAAGCCTATTGGACTCAAAAGAACGACCTTTAATCCTGTAAGGTAACTTTACCGTTAATGGAGCAGTATTTGATGGAAAATGTGGGGAAGGTCTGAGGAATCAAGTAACATAAAATGTGCATCAGATATAAAAGCAAAGAGGTAAATGAGTACAGGTATCACTAGCATAATGTCCTGAGTAAAAGGGATCTGTGTGTCAATGGTCCACTTCCAAACATCATTCTTAAAAAGAATGTAAAAGCCCCAGCTCCTGTGGCTCAGTCAGTGGCACTCTGGACTGCAGCACTGGAAGCCAAAGGTTGACTGTGGTTTGAATCCTCTGCCTGGTCAACCTGAAACACTCCAAATATCTCAGCCCAGAATCCTGCTGAGTTGGAGGCCTGGGAGAGAAGAATCACAGAATGAACAGGCCGTGTTGGAGGGTGCTTCTTTTAATTTCTCTCATACACGTGCACATGCTATCATGAATAAAAAGAAATACATTGTCAGATGGCGGGACCAGCAACAGGTGTAATGGTTATGTCGCTGGACTGTCACGTAATTGACTACGGTTCAAGTCCTGGACTTGGCGACTTAAAACTCACACTAGGAACATGTGCATGTGTGCCCAAAATCCTGAGAAGAGGATGGAGGAGAGGGGATTGTGGTGTAGACAACCCTCATGGAGGGTGATTTCTCTCTCTGTCCCTCTGGTGAGCACACGTGCCCTATAGCAAAAATCTCCTTCAAAAAAAAAAAAAATTGTCAGATAGCACCTGCACTCAGAGAGAGACAGAGAGAGAAAATAAGAGAAAGTACTCTCTAATAGGGCATGGCCACACCATAATCCCTTCTCCATTTCCCCATTTTGATGGGATTCTGGTCACTCATGCATACTCATGCACACATATCCAGTGTGTTTTTCAAGCCATGCAGGCTGGGATTCGAACTGTGGTTGGCCATATGGGATCCAGCTCCCTTAATGACCAGGCTATAGGGCTGGCCAAAATATTTCTATTCTTTATGTTTTTTTTTTTTTTAATAATTGCTTATTTTATTTATTATTATTATTATTCAATTTGACCAAAGAGAGAGAAAGCAAGCTGCCAGGTCCAGGACTTGAACCACAGTTAGCCACAAGGGCATCCAGCACCTTAACCACCATGATAACTGCCAGGCTCAAAATATTCCTGTTCTTAGCAAATATATTCTGGAGCATTCACAGGAAAAGAGCCTAAATAGGCAACTTATCCTAAAATGGTTCAGGAATACAATTATGTAAACGTACACACAGAAAGGAATTATTTAAGTGGATGTATGTATGTATACGTGTGTGTACGAGACAGGGTGAGAGTGTGTTGCGCATGTGTGCACAGAGAGACAAGGGGGAGAGGAAGGGGGGAAATGTGTGGAGGGCAGAAGACGGGGGAGGGGTGTGAGAGACCACAGGTGCACAAGCTGCACTGTCCGGTGTGCACTGCAGCCGCTTGCCACGTGTGGCTAGGAGCACCTGAAAGTCTGACTGGACACTGTAAGTGTAGAACACACACTATTTCAAAGACTTTCTATGAGAAGAGAATGTAAACTATGTCGGTAATTTTTGATATAGATTATACAGATGGTCTTCGACTTAACAACTTCTAAAATTTACAATGGTGTGAAAAAATATACATTTAGTAGAAACCATACTTTGACTTTTGAGATATTTAACATTTTTTTATAATACAGGCTTTGTGTTAGATGACTTTGTCCAACTGTGGGCTAGTTAAGAGTTCTGAGCACTCTAAATACAGGCTAGGCTAAGCTATATTTGGTAGGTTAAGCATACTTACTGAATTAAATGTATTTTCTTTTAAAAAAATTCTATTACTTATTTATCTATTTGATAGCGGGTGTGTATGTTCTCCACAGTGAGACGGGGGAGAGGAGAAAGCACCTCCCATGGAGAATGGTCATGCCACATCCCTTCCCCACCTCTTTCTTTGGGATTTTGGGCATACACGCACATGCACTCAGTGTGTTTCTCAAGCTGTCAGATCTGGGACTTGAAAGACACAGTTGGCCACATGGAATGTAGGATGTGGCTGCCTTAACCACCAGGCTACATAGCCCTCTTCTTTTTTATTTATTTTTTGAATAAGTTTTTGCTATAGGGCGTGTGCACTCGCTAGAAAGATAGAGAGACAGAAAGTGAGAAATCACCCCCGGGGGGATGGCTACACCGCAATTCCTTCTCTTCCATTCTCCTCTTAGGATCTTGGGAACGGGAACACACACACGTGCCCAGCATTGAGTTTAAGCCATCGGGACAGGGACTCAAGCCATGGTCGACTACATGGGAGTCCAACGACATAGCTATTATGCCAACTGCTAGTCCCAACCTTCTTCTTTTTTTTTTTTTTTAAGTTCATTTATTTTATTTATGAGAGAGAACATATGGGCACATGTGTGTGTAGGGGGACCACTGTGTGGGGCTGAGAGGAACTCTGGACTTTGTCTCCTCATGCTCCAATTCCCTTCTCCTTCAAGCTCATCATGATTATGCGCACGTGAACCCAGCATGTTTTCAGGTCGACCCAGGATCATAACCCATGGTCAGCCATGTGGCTTCCAGCACTACAGTTCAGTATGTTACTTATCTATACTTCTAAGGCTGGGTCTGAAACAATCTTCAACTTTAGATATTTTCTTTTTTTTCCCGATATTTTTGCTATAGGGTGCGTGCACTTGCCAAAATAAAGACAGAGAGATAGAAAGCGAAAAATCACCCCCCAAGTGGATGGCCACACCACAATTCCTTGTCCTCCATTCTCCTCTCGGGATCTTGGGCACACACACCCACGTGCGCGCGCGTGATCCTGGCCTGAGTATAAGCCACTGGATCCGGGACTCGAACCACGGGCGACTACATGGGAGTCCAGCGACATAGCCATTACGCTAACTGCTGGTCCCCAACTTTTGATATTTCCTTTGTTTCTTTTTTTAAAGCACAGTGTCATTTATTTATTTTTAAATTATTTATTTAATTTGATTTAGTCATTCACTTTATTTTAACTTGGCCAGAGAGTGACACAGAGAAAGAGAGAGAGGGAAGGTGAGAAAGGAAGCCACCAGGTACGGGACTTGAACTGTGGTTGGCCATGTGGGAGTGTCCAGCACCTTAACCACCACACCACGTGCTGGTCCCAACTTTTGATACTTTCAATGTATAACCCTATCCTAAGTTGACGAGCTGTGTATTGAAATGACAATATTTTGGATATATGCGTTAAATAAAATACATATTGCTAAATTTACTTTACCTTGTTAATTTTACTTTTTCAACGAGGCTACTAGAAAATGAATAATTACATATTTGGCTTCTATGATTTTTTATTGGCTATTACTGAGAAAGTGAGAGCACACAAATGAGGGAAAATATTAATAATAAAATAAAAAGTGCAACTGGGTAAAAGATGTTTTTAAAATCAATGATAAACAGATTAAAGATAGAATTTTGGAGACAGGCTCACACCTATCTTAAGTTTAAAACAGGGAAGTGGTGGGCGTGGTGGCACCCGCCCTATGGTAAAACAGGGAAGTGCGCAGAACAGAAAGACACCCTAGATATGACAAAATGAAGGAAGCACAACGTAACTGGGGGAATCAAGGGCCGAGAAGACCCGATGGGTGTCATTATTCTGGACTAGCAATTAATTTAGGCAGAGACAGGCTCAGAAAGGAAGGCTGAAAACGACTGACTCACCCCTCTGGAAAGAAGGCATTAATGATCCGGTCCCCCAGTGGGTTGATAGCAAGTTCTGGAATCCTTTGGAAATCTTCCCGGCTGCCAAGAGAATCACTTTGAGTTAGAGAACATTGGCCCTTACCAAGAAATCCTTGTGTCTGAAACAGGATATAACCTAGCAAGGATATTACCTCCTGGAATGTACTTCTGTGGCAATTTATACCAAATAACTGCACAGAATAGCCCTTTAATAGCTGCCAAGTGTTTTTTGCACCAACTCAGGAGTGGAAGAAACCAGTTTTGACAATGCCACATTCCAGTGAATTCAGAACACGGGGTATGTCAACAAACCAACTGAGAAGCTGTCCTTAGTAAATGATTCCTTGAACATTACTACTTTGCACTTAGTTATCAAGTCTGGAGCGAACAGCAAATGGAAAGTATCAAACACCACAGAACGTCAAGAAAAGAAAAAAACACAGAGGGGCCTCCATACCCTTGTTAAGATCTACCGTGGGGTCAGCGGGTGGCATGGTGGTTAAGGTGCTGGACTCCCGTATGGCCAAATGTGGTTAGAGTCCTGGACTTGGCAGTTTGTTGTCCCATTTTCTCTTTCTGGTGAGCGTGCATTCCCTATAGTAAGTTAACATGGTAACAATAGGGACCAGCGGATGGCGTAACGCTTATATTGCTAGACTCCCACATGGTCCACTGTGGTTCGAGTCCTGGACCAGGAGGCTTAAAACTCAGGCCAGGTGTGTGTGCGTGCATGCCCCAAATCCCGACAGGAAAAGGGACTGCAGCGTGGCCATCCCCCCTGGCGGGGGGGGCTTTCTCGTTTTCTGTCTCTATTTCTGGCAAGCATATGTGCTGTATAGCAAAAATCTCTCTTAAAAATACAATAACAACAAATAAAATTAAATAATTCTTTAAAAAACTTTAAAAGACACAGGACCAATGGATGGTATAATGGTTACATCACTAGACTCTCATGTAGTCGACAGAAGTTTAAGTCCAGGACCTGGTAGCTTAAACTCACACCAGGCACATGTGAGTGTGTGCCCAAGATCCCAAGAAGAGAATGGAGAAGGGTTTGTGGCGTGATCATCGCCTCTGGGGGGTGACTTCTTGCTTTATGTGTCTCTGTCTCTCTGGTGAGTGCATGCACCCTATAGCAAAAATCTCTCTCAAGAAAAAAATTTTTTAAAGATGTAAAGCATCTATGAAATGCAAGTTAGAGGATGCGTGCATCCAAAGAAAGAATGTAACAGCCAGCTGATTTCCGTACTCCCTTGGGCTCGGTCTGGCTTTTCCTCCATTCCCTTCTATAGACTAAGGCGGGAGAAGTACTTAAGCCTCGAACACAGCAAGAGCAGTTACCCTCGCACACCCTGGAGGTGATGCTCAAGTGAGGATTATTAGTTACCGGTCATTACGCAGACGTCACGTGGTGCCTTCATTCTGTTTATGTATGCTATCTCATTTCTTCCTGCCCATGCTTTATCTATACCCTTTCACCCTTTCAGAATCAAGGAAACTGAGAGTCAGCGAGATAAAGTCATTTTCCAGTGCCACACAACTAAGTGGTGGAACTGTGACTTACATCTATGTAAGGGAAAGTATGTGTTCTTTTTCTAAAAACGTTTCTTCTCCAAATTAAACTTTTTTTTTTTTTTTTTTTTTTAAGGTTTTTGCTATATTGTCCATGCGTTTGCCAGAGTGACAGGGAAAAAGAGTGACAGGAAAAATGAGAAATCACTGACAGCTAGGGGGGTGGGAGGGAGATGGCCATGACACAACCCCTTCTCCATTCTCTGGGGATTTTGAGCACGCATGCTCATGTGCCCTGTGTGATTTTCATGCCATCAGGTCTGGGACTCAGACTGCAGTTGTCCATGTGGGAGTCCAGCACCTTAACCACCACACCACCCACTGGCCCCTAAACTTTTTTTTTAATTGCAGGAGGCTGCATGTGCTTGCCAGAAAGACAGAGATCCCAGCCATGTGAGATTCTGCTGCTTAACCTCCATGCTACCTGCTGGCTCTCAAAGACTTGTTTTAAATAATTATTTTATTTAACCTTATTTATTTTAATTGGACCAGAGAGAGAGGGGAGAGAGAGAGAGAAAGAGGAGAGAGAGAGAAAGTGAGAAAGCAAGCCTCCAGGACTCAAACCGTGGTTGGCCACATGGGGGTCCAGCACCCTTAACCACCATGCCACTTGCCGGCCTTCCAAAGACTTTTATTTTTTTTTTTTTGAGAGAGGTTTTTCGCTATAGGGCATGTGCGCTCGCCAGACAGAGAAAGACAGAGAGACAGAAAGTGAGAAATCACCCCCCCAGAGGGGATGGTCACGCCGCAATCCCTTCTCCTCCATTCTCCTCTCGGGATCTTGGGCATGCATACACACGTGCCCGGCGTGAGTTTAGGCCTCCGCGTCCGGGAGGCGAACAGCGGTCGACTACATGGGAGTCCAGCGACATAGCCATTACACTAACTGCTGGTCCCTCCAAAGACTTCTTTAAAAAGATATTTATTGAACATTTTGGGGGAGAGGAACTTTCTTTCAAAAAGTGTAATTTGGAGGGCCAGCCCCATAGCCTGGTTGTTAATGGAGCTGGATTCCACAGGGCTAACCATGGTTCAAATCCTGCCCCTGGAGGCTTGAAAAATATGCTGGGTGTGCGTGCATGCGTGCGTGCGTGTGTGTGTGTGTGTATGAGCCCCAAATTGCAACAGGATGGAGAAATGGAGGAGGAGAGATTGAAGAGAGAGCGTGTCCCAGTAGGGGGACTATCTCACTCTCCTCCTTTCTCTATGTCTGGAGAGCACACACATCCTCTCGCAAATAGAGAGAGAGAGAGAGAGAGAGAGATACAATTAAACTCAACACATAGTCCTGGGCTAGGAGACAGACTGCTACAAAGGGCATGATTGGGTAATGACTAAAAATGGAACATGAGCAGGCCAGCCCTGGAGCCTCATGGTTAAGTGAACCAGATCTCACATGGTTGACTAAGGTTAGAATTCTGGCCCCAGCAGCTGGACAAAATACTGAGTATGTGTCTGTGTACCCCAAATGCCAACCGGATGGAGAAATAGAAGAGAAGGGATTATAACATGCCTCTCTGAGGGGTGCTTTCTCCCTTTCTCTCTCTGTCTCTCTTGGCAACAACATATGCCATCTGGAAATTTTTAAAGACAGAACATGCACTATACAAAATATGAGATATTACATAATAGGACTGTATCAAAATACTAAATTTCTTGATATTGATCTGAGAATGTCCTTGTTATAAGACATAAAACACTGAAGTATATGACAAAGGTTAACAACAGGTGTATCAGGCTGTCAAGTGTATGAAAGTTCTCTGTGCTATTCTTGTAACTTTTCTTTTCTTTCTTTTTTTTTTTTTTTAGAGGTTTTTGCTACAGGGCACATGCGCTCGCCAGACAGACAGAGAGAGACAGAGAGACAGAAAGAGAGAAATCATCCCCCGGGAGGGATGGCCATGCTACAATCCCTTCTCCTCCATTCTCCTCTCGGGATCTTGGGCACACAATTGGTCCCAATTCTTGTAACTTTCCTTTGACTTTGAAATTATTTCCAAGTAGGGCCAGCCCTGTAGCCTAGTAGTTAAGGGAGCCAGATCCTACATGGCCAACTGGTTCAAATCCTGACTCCATCAACTTAAAAAAAAAACAATACCAGGAATGTGTTGTGGGTGTCCAAAATCCCACAGGATGAAGAAATGGAAAAGGAATTGCAGCATGGTCAAGTCGCATTAGTGGTGCTTTCTCCCCTTCTCCCTGTCTCCCTCAAATGAGCACATGCAACCTATTGCAAAAATCTAAATTTAAAAAAGAAAGATAGGGGCCAGCAGGCAGCATGGTGGTTAAGTGTGTTAGACTCCCATATGGCCGACCACGGTTTGAGTCCCAGAACTGGCAGCCTGCGCACTCCTTCACTCTCTCACTCTCTCTCTTTCTCGCTGTGTCCCTCTTTGGTCAAATTAAAAACAAATCAAATAATTCTTAAAAAAAAAAAAAAGAGAGAGAGAGAGAGATAAGAGAACTCCTTCACCTTTTTTGGTAGTAAATGCTAGTGAAGGCAGAAATCATGAAATGCTCCAATTTTCCCAGGAGTCTTCACACTCTGTTTCCCTTGTGGTTTAATATTTACATGGTGTTTAGTGAATTCAACAAGATTGTCTCCACTGTATTGGAGACACGGGTAGAAACTGACTAGTGGACCATGCGTAAAGCTCTGGAACAATAACTCTGGATTATAATCTTCCTTATCCATTTAGGATAGTAAGTTTTATATCAATAAATGAACCAAAGGAATCATTCATAAGGCAAGTAAATTGCTTAAGATAATAATAAAATGACTAAGGTTCTGATTATTTAATTCAGTAAACACGTACTAAGCTTCTATTACATAATTGGTTGTATAATACAAAGTTCATATTATCAGCAAAACATAGTTCCTCTTGTCTGCAAAGGTTAAGGAACAATAACTTCTCCCTTTGAAATAAAGACTACGGCTAATTTGAATTGCGTGGCCACACAACTCAGCTTAATTATCTAACAAGTAATTTAGCCGAGAAAAAGCACAGTTTAAATACCAAGTCTAGTATCAAGTGGTGGGAGCACAGTCGAGCCTGAACTCCTTCAGTTTCAATAAAAGGATACAGACTTGAACATCCACTCTCTCTCTCTCCCCCATTTTCTTGAAATTTGCTAGAAAGTGCATGTGCTGACTTGAGAGAGAGACAGAGACAGAGAAAGTGAGAATACATCCCCATCATGTGGGATAGTCATGCTGCAATCCCTTCTAAATTTCTCCTTTCAAGATCTTGGGCACACATGCCTGGTGTGTTTGTTTGTTTGTTTTGAGAGGATTTTGCTATGGGGTGCGTGCGCTCACCAGAAAGACAGAGAGACAGAGAGACAGAAAGTGAGAAATCACCCCCCAGGGGGGATGGCCACGCCACAATCCCTTCTGCATTCTCCTCTCAGGATCTTGGGAATGCACGCACACGTGCCCGGCTTGAGTTTTAAGCCACCAAGTCTGGGACACAAACCGTGGTCTACTATGTGGGAGTCCAGCGACATAGCCATTACGCTAACTGCTGGTCCCAAAATTAAGTAATTAAAAAATAATAATAATAAGGGACCAGCAGGTGGCGTGGTGGTTAAGGCGCTAGACGCTCCCATATGGCTGACCACGGTTTGAGTCTTGGATCTGCTGGCTTGCTTTCTCATTTTCTCTCTCTCTCTCTGTGTCTCTCTCTGGCCAAATTAAAACAAATGGGTTTGAGTCCTGGATCTGCTGGCTTGCTTTCTCACTTTCTCTCTGGTCAAATTAAAACAAATGAATGAATAAATTAATTAAATAAATAATTCTTTTAAAAAATTAATAAAAACACATAAAGGTAGCTTAGGTAGCACAGCCCTTAGAGTACTGGACTTCAGTACCAGCAGTCACATGGTTTACTGTGGGTTTGAACCTTTGATTGCCTGAAAACATCCCAGGCACAGGATACCCTCAATAGCTGGAGGGCTGGGTAGAGAGGATCACAGACAACGACAACCTATCAAGGGTTTTTCTCTCTTTTTCTCTCATTTTCATGCATGTATTTACATGTACACACACACTATAATTAAAAACAAAAAAAGGGGGCACCAGCAGGTAGCATGGTGGTTAAGGCGCTGGACATTCCCACATGGCCAACCATGGTTCAAGTCCTGGACCTGGTGGCTTGATTTCTCACTTTCTCTCTCCCTCTCTCTGTGTCTCTCTCAGGTTAAATTAAAAAAGAAAAAATAAAAAAAAAAAGTTAAATAAATAATTCTTTAAAAAAAAAAAAAAAAAAGGATATCTTCCCAAAAGCAAAGAGCCAGAAAATGTAAGAGAAAAGTTAAGTTGCAGCAGTCTAATAGCCAAACAACAAACATGCCATAAAAGAACACATACGGAAAAGAGAAGGAAGGAAATAATAATAAATAGTAATACCAACAGAAGAGACCCTTCCAGCCAGAGGGCCTATTTTCAGTCTGAGAAGGTTCCTCTAATGCTAAGTAATGAGTAATAAAAACCTACCAAAAGGTGAAACTTCAGAACAAGAGGAGATATTTGAAGCTTTCAGAGAATTTAAAAATAAAAGTAGGGCCAGCAGGTGATATAATATTTAAAGTGCTAGACTCCCACGGGGTCGACCACAGTTTGAGTGCCAGACCTGGCAGCTTGAAACACAGCACGCACATGTGAGCGCATGCCCAGAATCCCGAGAAGGGAATGGAGGAAAAGGGATTACGGTGTGGCCATCCACCCTGGGGGTGACTCCTCAGCTTCTCTCCTTCTCTCTCAGCCTCTCAGGTGAGCACGCACATCCTACAGCAAAAAAATCTCTCTCTCTCTCAAAAAAATAATGTTATCTACAAAAAGAATGAGAACTAGATGGTATCACGCTTCTCATTTGTGAAACTCCATTCTGGAATTACTGATACTACTGTGTGTACAGTAAATATTTGTCCAGGATATTTGAATCAACAGTCTCCTGGTTAAAGTTAGATGAAAAAAATGAAGATCAAAAACACTTAATGTTTGAGCAGATAAATAGCTACCCTTCAGGACACAATCTCCTAAAACGTGTCATCTTTCTTTAAGTGATAAATAACACAGCCAATTAGCAATTCCCACTGAAAATTTCTTTGCAGGGTTTAGCTGGTCTGTACTGTCCCCTGTAGTCAACTTAACCTGCATGATTTAATATCTAGAAGAATACATTTTTTAATTTTGATTTCTTTTGTTAAGTTTAATATAGGTCACATGTGCTCACTAGAGAAAGAGAGAGAGAAAGCAAGTCACCAGGTTCAAAACTTGAACCACAGTAGGCCATGTGGGAGTCCAGTGTCTTAACCTCCACACCACCTGCTGCCCCCCTGAAATTTTAAATTTTATTTTTTAAATTTTTGCCATAGGGTACGTGTACTCACTGGAGAGAGAGAGAGTGAAAGTGACAAATCACCCTGCAGGGATGGTCACACTGCAATCCCTTCTCCTCTAAGTCCTCTCGGTATTTGGGGCAGGCACACACATACGTCCGTCACGTTCCTCAAGTCACTAGGCCCAAGACTCGAATGGCAGAGCTGGTTATGTGGGACCATGCTCTAACCACCATGCCACCTGTTGGCCCTTTATTTTTTTTATTCATGAGAGAACACTTGTTCTACATATGTGAGAAAGTGAATGACAGTGACAGGGATAGAGAGAGAGATGAGCACTCTTTAGAGGGACTGCTCACTCCATGATTTCTGCAGTTCTCCAACCCTTCAGAGCTTCAGTACTGGCACATGTGTCTGGCATGTTTCGGGCTGACCGGCAGGGGATTTAAACCACAGCCACCATATGGAATCTGGCTTCTCTTAAGCGGTGCATCACGGCTCACCACACAGCTGACCCGGGGAAGATTTTTTTTTTTTTTGGAGAGTTTTTTGCTATAGGGCGCATGTGCTCGCCAGACAGACAGAGAGAGACAGAGATAAAAAGCGAGAAATCACCCCCAAGGGGGGATGGCCACACCGCAATCCCTTCTCCTCCATTCTCCTCTTGGGAACGTACGCACATGTGCCTGGCGTGAGTTTAAGCCACCGGGTCCGGGACGCTAACCGCAGTCGACTACGTGGGAGTCCAGTGACATAGCCATTATGCTAACTGCTGGTCCCCCCGTGGAGGATATTTTAAAAGCAAACTTTTACTGAAGCACAACATACATTCAGAAAAGTACACAAATCAAGGTTGGCCCCATGGCCTACAGGTTAAAGGAACCAGATCCCACATGACTGGCTGCTGTTTGAATCTTGATCCAGGTAGCTTGAAAAAAATATGCCAGTCACATGTGCAAGTATGTCAAAGACCTGACAGGATGGAGAAATGAAGGAGAGATTGCAGCGTGGCCACACCCCATTGGGAGATACTTTCTCCATCTCCTTTGCTTTCTCTGTCTCTCTTTGGTGAGCCTACATGCACTCTGGCAATTAAAAAAAAAAAAGCACACAAATCAAAACCATGTTGAAGTACGACAAAGTGGAGAGGAAACAAATGACCTAGACCACCTGACATGAACCAACTATAAAAAGCCTGTGTTTGGGAAAGGGCTGTGAAAAATGCAAACAGAGAGTTGAGATCTCTTTCTAGGACTAGACAGTACCCACCTAAACTAAGGCAAACCGGAATAAAGCAACAAGTACCCAGTGACAGAGTTAATGTCACTGTCTCGCTTAATCCACTTATGGAGCAATGACGCTCAAAGACCAGTGAAGACATGGTCCCCACCTTCCGTATGGTGGGTGCCTACCATGTCCACCCTTGGATAAATGCAGCTATTCCAACATTGCCAGAGCATTTCTGGTTTCTACGAGGGAAAAAAAAACACAAGCAAAGAAACTGCCTACCTGAGAGTCCCATTCTCTCCTTTGTCCAGGCTGGTGAAGCGGCTGTAGAGGCGCGTGATCTGACTGTGGGAAACTGAAGAGTATAAAGTTAGTCCCAGCTGAGAAAGTAGTCCTCCGCTCACACTGAGTCCACAGCCCACTGCTGAAGGTGTCAAACTGAGATGGGCAGATACCTTAACTCTGAGTCATCTTGGGAGTGTCAGAGTTTAAAAGCAAAAAAAAAAAAAAAAAAAGAAAGGTTTGGGGCTGGCAGATGGCATGGTGGTAGAGGTGCTGGACTCTCACATGGCTGACCATGGTTCGAGTTCCAGACCAGGCAGCTTGCCTTCTCACTTTCCCTTTCTCTCTCTGTAACTCAGCGGTAAAATTAAAAATAAATAATAACAATTGCTTTCCAGTGTAGGCCAGGCAGGATGGCTCCTGCAAAAAAGGGTGGTGAGAAGAAGGGCCGTTCTGCCATCAACGAGGTGGTGACCCGGGAATACACCATCAACATTCACAGGCGCATCCATGGCGTGGGTTTTAAGAAACGTGCCCCTCGGGCACTCAAAGAAACCCGGAAATTTGCCATGAAGGAGATGGGGGCTCCAGATGTGCCCATTGACACCAGGCTCAACAAAGCTGTCTGGGCCAGAGGAATAAGGAACGTCTCGTATCGAATCCGTGCGCGGTTGTCCAGAAAACGACACAAGGATGGAGATTCACCCAACGAGCTCTGTACTCTGGTGACCTACGTACCTGTTACCACTTTCAAAAATCTATAGTCAATGTGGATGAGAACTGCTGATTTTCAAATAAAGTTATAAAATCAATATAATAATAACAACAACAACAAATAAAATTAAAAAGAAAAAGAATGAAAGAAGTTAAAAAAAATAAACTAAATCAAGAGCCAACAAAATGGACTCTCACAAATGAAGTCTGGGCTTACCTAAAATTATGTATTAAGGGCAACAGGTGGCGTGTGGTTAAGGGCCCTGGACTCCCACGTGGCCGACTGTAGTTTGAGTCCTGAACCAAGAGGCTTACTTTCTCACCTTGCCTCTCTCTCTGTCTCTGTCCCTCTCTGATCAAAGTCCAATAAATAAAATTCGAGGAGAAGGGATTGTGGTGTGGTCATCCTCTCTGGGAGGTGATTTCTAACTTTCTCGCTCACTGTGTCTCTCTGTCTCTCTCTGATCAAAGTCCAATAAATAAAATTCGAGGAGAAGGGATTGTGGTGTGGTCATCCTCTCTGGGAGGTGATTTCTAACTTTCTCGCTCACTGTGTCTCTCTGTCTCTCTCTCCAAGTGAGCACACACACCCTACAGCAAAAACCTTAAAAAAAATTACTTTGTGTTAAGGGTGCCAGGTGGCCAACAGTTGGCATGGTGGTTAAGGCACTGGACTCCATACATGGCTGACCGCAGTTGGAGTCCCAGGACTGGCAGCTTGCTTTCTCACTTTCCCTCTCTCTGTTTCTGGTGAGTGCATGTGTCCTACAGCAAATTATAAAATAATGGGCCAGCAGGTGGCTTGATGGTTAAGATGCTGGCTGACCGCAGTTGGAGTCCCAGGACTGGCAGCTTGCTTTCTCACTTTCCTTTTCTCTCTCTCCTGTCTCTTTGGTCAAATAAAAAAATAATAACAACAGGGTCTGGCAGGTAATATGGTGGTTAGAATGCTGGACTCCCACATAGCCAACTGTGGTTTGAGTCCTGAACCTGGTGGCTTGCTTTCTCACTTTCCATTTTTCTCTCTCTCTTTCTCTGGTCAAATTAAAAAATAATAATAACAAATAAAAATAATTATTAACAAATAAAGTAATTATTTTTAAAGTAATAATTATAATAATAACTGAGGCCAGCAGAAGGCATAAAGGTCACGTCACTGGACTCCCACATGGCTGACTGTGGTTCAAGTCTCAGATCCGGAGGTTTGAAACTCATGCTGGGCGATGTGCGTGTGTGCCCAGGATCCCAGGAAGAGAATGGAAAAGGTACTGCAGTGTGGCCATCCCCTCTGGGGAGTGATTTCTCACTTTCCCTCTCACTATTTCTGTTTCTCTCTCCCCCCGGCAAGTATATGCACCCTAAAGCAAAAACCTCTAAAATAATAATAATAAAATAAAATAAATAATCCTTTTTTAAAAAAAGACTGTGTTAAGTACCAGGTGGCTAAGATTTAACAAAACCAAGACAAATTTATTTTAAAAGGAAATCGTGAGACTTTCATATATCGGTGCTCTGATCTAAGGACTCTAAAAATGCATACTTTGATTAAAAACATGTATCCAGCAGGTGGTGTGGTGGTTAGGGCGCTGGACACTCCCACATGGCCGACCACGGTTTGAGTCCCAGACCTGGTGGTTTGTTTTCTCCCTTTCCCTGTCTCTCTCTGGTCATATTAAATCAAATTAATGAATAAATAAAGTTAAATAAAGAATTCTTTAAAAAACAAAAAAAACATGTAGCTGTTAATCAGCTTAGTGGTTCAGGCAGGCAATGCTGAGGAGGTAACTTTTTTTTTTTTTTGAGAGGTTTTCGCTATAGGGCGTATGCACTCGCCAGAAAAACAGAGACAGAGAGATAGAAAGTGAGAAATCACCCCTCTGGGGGGATGGCCACGCCACAATCCCTTCTCCTCCATTCTCCTCTCGGGATCTTGGGCACGCACGCACACGCGCCCAGCGTGAGTTTAAGCCACCAAGTCCGGGACTTGAACCGCGGTTGACTACATGTGAGTCCAGCGACATAGCCATTACGCTAACTGCTGGTCCCAGTATTAACATCTTATATAACCTGCACCAAGCATTGGAGGCTTTATCTTCTCTGTCAGGACTGACCTTTGGGTAACAGATCACCACAGCCTTGTATCAGCTCTTTTCTGAGGCTATGAGTGCCACTGAGTTCCCAGAAAATGGCCTGTCTCCAAGGAAGCACATGAGGCAATCTGTAAAATGGTCATGCTATCACCGGACAACGCCTACAAAAAACGATTTCATTCCTCACGCTGGATTAACTCCGTCATCCAGGCACGAGCTGACGATTAAATGAAGTAACAGGCCAGAACAGGGACCCAGCAGTAAACCCGGTGCCTGGCAATGCTGCGGGCACGTGCCAAGGTCCTTGCTGCACTCCTGGGCTCCCCCGTCCGTGCCAGGCTCGTGTGCCCTGGACCTGCTGGCTGAGGCCAGGCATGGACAGCAGGATGAAGACCCTGTTGGTGGGACCAGCAGTTAGCGTAATGGCTATGTCGCTGGACTACCACATAGTCGACTGCAGTTCGAGTCCCGGACCCGGTGGCTTAAACTCACGCCTGGTGCGTGTGCGCCCTATAGCAAAAACCTCTCCAAAAACAAACAAACAAACAAAGACCCTGTTGGGGGTGCCAGTCCCTCTTTTATGTCTCTGTCTCCCACTCCTGGGAGAAATAGATACATAAATTTTAAGGAAAAATGAGGCAATAACTGCAGGTAAATAAAACCTCGAAAGTGCAAAAGGCATTTCTGGGAATTAGTTGCTTCTCACGGTAGAACAGAAGTAAAGGGGGGGGAATAAAGCCTAGAGTTACTGTAGTAGGAAAGACAACCCTAAAAAGGGTGTGACAATGTGAACTTTGTCCCAGACTGTACTTTAAGGGACTTAAAGGGGTGTCTGAAGTAGTTTTGATAGCTGTCCTCCACCCCCAGCTCATGAAACAAAAATTTACTTGCAGTATTGGGAACAATGGGACAAAGTAAACAGGGACAAGCAGGAGAAGCAGGAAGGAGCGGCTGTGAATTCCTCAGTGCTGAGTTTTCGCCCTGGAACTCCGTGTACTTGCGCTCGGCACTGGGTCTGTCCTGCTCCAGTGCTCTAAGAGGAGCAGAGAAGGGGCCAGAATCACTCCCAGCAGGGCAGCGCCAGCAGGCGCCCCCACTACGGCAGCATCTGAGGACCATTCTGCAGCCAGGCAGGTGCGAACAGCTCACTGTAAAGAGCACACACTCGTGAGGGTCAGGCAGACAGATTCTGATCCCATTCACAGCACCGCTGCTTGCCAGTGATGAAAGGAAAGTGCTTGGCAAAGTGCCTGGCACACGCTCAGCTCGCCAGGTAAGCTACCGTCCGGGGCCATGGAGGTACAGCCGTACCGCTGTGCTAATTACTCTCCACTTTCCTCCCAACTTCCAGTCACAGCCCTTTCCTTAGGAACCTGGCCAGTTTATGCTGGCTCTGGCCGTAGGTCACAAAGGCTGCTCTTGTACTAAAGTTCCCTTTAGTTTAGCAAAAAGTCAGTCAGTTAAACAATTACTAAGTTTCCCAAAAGATTTTTTTTTTTTTGGAGAGATTTTTGTTGTAAAGGTATGAGCACTCACTGGAGAGACAGAGAGATAGAAAGTGAGAAATCACCCCCCCGCAGGGATGACCATAACATAATCCCTTCTCCTCCATTTTCCTCTCGGGATTTTGGGATGCACACGCACATGCCCAGCATGAGTTTTAAGCTGCTGTGTCTGGGACTCGAACCACTGTTGACTATGTGGGAGTTCAGCAATATAACCATTATGCCATCTGCCGGTCCCTCCAAAAGATTTTTTTGGAAAAAAAAAATTTTTTTTTCTTTTTGGAGAGGTTTTTGCTATAGGGCGCATGCACTCACCAGACAGACAGAGAGAGACAAAGAGACTGAAAGCAAGAAATCACCGCCCCGGGGGGATGCTCACGCCACAATCCCTTCTCCTCCATTCTCCTCTCGGGATCTTGGGCACGCATGCGCACGTGCCCGGCGTGAGTTTTAAGACACTGGGTCCGGGTCGTGAACCGCAGTTGACTACGTGGGAGTCCAGCGACATAGCCATTACGCTAACTGCTGGTCCCAGAAAAAAATGAAATTTGCTCACAATCGCAACACAGCCAGTTCATTTCTTCATACACTATCTACAATCAGTCACTTATTTACGATATATAGTTGTAATAACTTATTTTTCATTTAATAAGTCCTAATTTTTCTATATTGCTTTGGAGTCCTCTTTAATAACTGTATAATATTTAGCCCACTGGATCAGTTTTAGTGTTTAGAGTACTATGTATTTCCTTGAAGAAGGGAAA